TACTTGGCATTGCTTCCGCGGCAGCCGTCCACGAGCATCACCAATAGCAACATCATGAAATTCACAACCGAAAAAAAAAAGAACCCCATGACGACGGCAAAGAACAACATGATCCTCTGCGTCTCATCGGACGCCGCATAGCGCGCTTTTTGGACGGCAACTTCCTGCTCCAATATGTCGCATTGCCTAGTGAAGGTGCTGCATTGCCGCTTGCTAGACGATTCGATCGTCGACGACATCAGTGCGCCATGGCGTTCCATGACATCAGAGATGGACTCGAATGCCTGTTGACGCGCGTTCTTCCGCTTCCCGCCTCCCACCCCGCTGCCTACGTTGCTGTCAGACTCCCTCGCAGAAGAACGCTCGTCAGGGCAGCCTTCACCGACCGCCTCACTACAAACAGACTCCCCGCCACCCGCTCCTCGCCTGGGCAGTTGCACCCCATCTGGACTGTCGGTGTCGGCAACGTTGGGAGGGAAAATCGTGTGGTTCCCCACCATGCCTGCGTGGATCTCGTTGTACAGCGCCCTGTCCATCCGAAACTTGAAGTTGTGCTCCTTCCTCTCTTCGTTCGTCAGCCTGAAAAAATCTGGCCGCCCGCTGGCATTCTGAAACCTCTGAATTTTCTTGTAGTTCTGGAACAGATTGTCCCACTTCTTCAGGCAGTCGTCAGCGTCCTTCGGCCTCCCTGCATTCACCATCCGCTTCGACATGTCCTCCCACTTCCACTCTTTCGTCTTCATCCGCCCGTAATTGTGAGACAAGCCGGCGAGGTGCATATCTTGCTCCCGCTTGCATCGCACCAGGAGCATTTGGTCTTCTGCAGACCAGTACGTCGAAGACTTCCCGACGTCGTCACTTACGCCACCTTTGCCACCACGGCCAACGGATCCACCACGGACACCACCTTTGCCGCGTCCTTTCCCCTCCCAGTCGTCTTCCGCAAAGGCCGAATTGGAACGTCGTCGTCGTCGTCCCCCGCTTCCACGTCTTCCCTCATCCCTTCGTCTGCATCGTCACCGAAGCCAACGTCATCTTCGCCTCCATCGCGGTGTGCCCGCATGTTCGACACTCCACGTGTTATGTTCTCCAAAGTGGGTCGTGGACGTACCGGCGCTCTGCACGTTCCCTCGTCCCTCACTCCGGATTCGACCGGTGTTGTGCACGCAAACATCAGCGAATGTGCACCGCCCATGCGCAGGGGCCCTGCTGCCACCCCGGGGGGTGCGGGCCAGGTCGGTGTCAATCGATCGACAGACGGAGCAGTCGATCCATGCTGCCGTCCTGCTGGCGATGGCCCGACCACGCCAGTCACGGGTGCAGCGCGACGAAGTGTGGACTGCTCCGCATGCAGACTTCCACCATGCTCAACGCCACGTGCCGAACGATCTCCGTCGATGATGAACGTACGACTCGCCTCCCTACTGCCGCCAGAACACAACTCGAACCTCAGATTAACTCCTCCGCCATCGTCGTCCCGCAAGCCTTGATGGAGCAATGACGTGAACTCGCCCCCTTCGTCGGGAGCCGCCCCGCCTGCTCGCACCGTCTACGACCACAACTGAGTCGAGCCGCTAGCGAGAGGCAACGTTGAAAGTTCTTCCTTCTCCGGCTCCTCGTCCAACGGGGGCAATGGCGTGTCCCACGACTCCAGATGGGTGTACATGGACGGGTCGTACTGCCTTCGAGGCTCCGCCGCAGAAGATCGAACTCCTCCCTGACCTGCGGCAACAGCCAGTCATGCCTGCATGCCCGCCATTAGACGTTCGCCTGCCGCCCGTCTCGTCGAAGCCCTCCTCTTGAGTTGTTGTTTCCACGACCGCCACGAAAAACACACGTAGAGGAAGACGACAATCAAGAAAACGATGATAGCGAGTACCAGCAGAGGCAATCTCCTCCGCACGTCAGCCATGAAATTCACCTCTGCAGCCGCCCTCGCACGTGACCATTGCAGATGTGTGTTCCGACATGCCCGCGACAGGGGCGCTCGACCTTCATATGAGGACAACCACCACACAAGACGATGAACACGCCCGCCTTCCTTTTGAAATTCGACCGTTGCGGTGCGCGCTGCCCGAAGCGGCTCCGTCTGTCGTCTTGCGTACGTCGATGTCCCACTCCGCATCTCGCAAGCGACCCAACGGTCCAGTACGGGCAACCACCCGCCGACGCTCGGCCCTCCGCGCTCCACCCCCTCTGCCAACGGCTACCGTGTGTGGCCGTTGCCCGCGTCGAGCCGCAAAAAACCTCCGATGTCCGACCACCGACTCGACGGACCGCTTCTGGACCACCAACGAGTGTCGAYGGTGCCATGCGTGCGACGCAACGACTCCGTGAAACACGGGAATCCTAAATTTTTCAGTAGGTCGGGGGCTACTGGAAAATTTAGGACGATTTTGTCTGGGGAATCCTAAATCTTTTAGGACTCGTCCTAACGCCGTTTTCACATTTCTGATCTCCGATTTCGTTTTAGGACTGTGTGCAATGAGGACGCAATCCTAAAAACAGGCATTTTTAGGAGTGTCTAACGAGACCCTTATGTATTATACTCAATTGCAATGTGCCCGAAGGGCATATGGAGGACCTTGCGCGCTTCGAAGTGCATGGCCACACCACCCTCGAAATGTGCAAAATGAGAATGAACTGGCCGCTCGAACATGGCCAGATGCACCCGCCACATTTTTGTCTTTTTCACATTTCGCGAGTGGTGTGGCGAGGTCCTCCGAAGGTTGTAGGAGGCTCGCCACATAGGCTGTCGAAAACCCGGTTTTCCACAGTTTTGCATCGCCACACAGACTTTCGAAGAATTGCGGCTAAAAAAACTTCGGACACGTGTCAGAATGGTCCTTTAGACAGCCGCCCTCCAGCAACCATTTCCACCAGCCTGCAGGTGACGGAAATTCGAGAGTGGCCCGCCGACCTTTCAAAAATTGCGTTCGAATTTGCGTTGTCAGGGACTGTTCCGTCTTCCGTGAAACCCGTCCGCCTGGCCATGACCAAAAACCTTGCCCCTCGACAGCCTGTGTGGCGAAAGGGGGGGGAATTGTCGACCACTCGACTGTCAAAAATTTTCTGACACCTGTCGAAAATTTTCGACATTCTACAGCCTGTGTGGCGAGCCTCTAGAACCTTCGAAGGAGTACCCCGCGCGAGGAGGTGCCCCGCCCATGTGCTGAATTGTTTTACATTAAAAAAAAAGAAAAAGGGGGTGACGGCCTTGTTGAGATAATATCATATCCAGCGGCCTAGCTCAGTTGGTAAGGCAGGCAAGTGGCATTCAGGAGGTCTTGGGTTCAATCCCCATTGGCCTCATGTACCTTCCTAGGCATGCTTGGCGCCCACCACCTAGAGATATCCTGTTGGTCCCCCCAATTGGCATTAAAAAGAAGTCTCTGCTGATGTTCATAGGGGGAGGGGACCGGAGGGGAGGCACTGTAAATGGCCCATTGAAGAAGCTGAGCCTCGGTCTTGATGCTACCGGCTGACCCCTGGCCGGCCGGTATCGGCCGGTATCGCCTATCGCCCACCTGCTGTAGCAGGAGGTATCGCACCACCTGTTGGTGGGTGGGTGCAGCTCCTGCATGTTCCCTCGTTGGGGGCTTGAGCACGGGTGTGGCTGCTACGGGTTTCCCTGTAATACTGTAATGACAATAAAGAAAAGGCCTGAAAGGCCATCCTGTCCAGATTTGACAGGTAATTGAATTGGTTGGGCTTTTTTTCCATAAAATATTTTTTACTTTTCAATTAGGGCCCAGTGCCCAAGGTAGAAAAACATTAACATACAATCTGTGATCTCTAGGGCGACGAGGTCTCCACTTCATCCAGGAAGCCGAGCCCGTCCCCTGGGAAAAAAAAAAAAACATCTACTGTAACAAAAAAGGACCAAAGGAAATCTCCCCTGTACAACCATCAATAGATACCAGGCTGGGACAGGACGCCCAATGGTTTCTGAACCATTGTGCTCCAGCTCTAGAGCTTTGCACACTGTTGACTTTTTTCTTCCAATCTAAAAAGATAATCTGTCGCAGAGAGCGTCTAAGCTTACTAAGAAGTTGCAGTAGAGAAGGACAGTCCCCATTTCTAACCACTGCATTACGCTGCTTCCAAAGTTGCCAAAGTATAGCTGCTCGAACTGATTCAAAAACATACGTTCTAGGTTTGGTAAGACAAGGGATGACAGAGCCAAATAAAATGACTTTTGAGGACCACGTCACACCCCACTCCGTTGGAAAAATACAATGTTGTTGACAATGCTGCCAAACTGGTTGCACAATGAGGCAACTTTGCCAAGGATGGCATTGATCTTCCACCATGTGTATAGACGGACATGCTGTGCAGAAAGGCAAACCTGTTCGTCGTCTACGGAATAACATCTCCGTTGTGGGGACAGCATTATGCATGATTGACCAGAGAAGTCCAGCATGCTTCGTCACCATCAGAGTAGGCAACATCTTCCAGAAAGCTTTCAGTCTGCCCGGAATAATAGCATAACCCCTAGCTGACCATATTCTTGTAATCTCCCAATCAATATCACAAGTCAGTTGCAGTAGTGAATAGGCAAAACGAGCAGTAGTTAGCCTTAAAAAAAAAAAAAAAAAAAAAAAAAAAAAAATGTTATCATCGGAAAAAAAATAAAAACAAAAATCATAGAACTGACAGGCCCTAGGTAATTCAGGGCAGAGTTCTAGTGTTTCACTCATCTGCTGCACTTGAGTTCGAACTCCAGTGGGCATTTCAACAGGGGCAAGGTCCCACTAGCAAAGAGGATTGCATGGAAAACTTGAATGTGCACATGTTTCACACAGTTCAATCTCAATTTCCTGCACCTTTTCATCAAACGCATCCAGATTCAGACGTTGAATCCAATCCTCTTTGCTAGTGGGACCTCGCCCAAGTTAAGGGGTGTACCAACTGAGCTCGGCCAGTTGGTGCATGTGTGTGAATTGTAGACATAGACACATATGTCTGCAGAAACTGTTGATTAAAAAAAAAAAAAAAAAAAAACTTTTTTTTTTTTTGCTTTTTTATATCAAATCACCGGGAAGCTGGCCCGGCGTCCCTTACAGATTTTCACAGCCCCAGGCCAGCGCCCAGCTACTCCGGCCGGGTGCAGGTCCAGGCTGCAGAAACAGAACCAAACCCAACCATTCAAACCAATACTGAAGCAAAAGAAGACACAACCTATAACCCCATCCTGCTAGACTATACTAAGTACATGGCGGACGTTCCTCACAAACTTTCACAGCCCCAGGCTGCACCCAGCTACTCTGGTCGGGTGCAGGTCCAGGCTGCAGAGACGAAACCAAACCCAACCCTTTAAACCAATACGTAGACAACCTGTAACCCATAATCCCATCCTGCTGGACGGTACTGAGTACAAGCATCCGGGCAGTGACTGTCACACGTGCAATGTTCGTTAGAGTGCCATCGAAAATAACACCATTTCGAATTATATTACACTGAAATCTACTGTATTGGAACTGTATTTCACCACAACTTCACAAAAAAAAACGACGAAAAAATGAGCTCAGGTGTTCCATGAACTCCTACAGTAATGTTTGTGACACGCAACCTCACGCCCGGTGTTGTCTTTCGTTCGGAGTGTTAGCTGTGCGGAAAAGAGGCCTAGAAAAACAGCAAGATGGGGTGTGCCAAGGATTTTTGGAAATTGAGTGTGGGGACACAGATGAAACTGAAATCCCCCGTGATGGTCTGATGGAGCAAGTCGATCGTTTCGCGCGTTGCGGAATGCGCACGCGGGCAAGGCGGAAAAGAGAAAGAAGGACCCAAATTCAATCCAAAAAGTATTGTCGTGCCTCCCACCGGGCTACAGGCCGTCGTTTAGAACAGAAAGGCTTGGGCACGCTTCGCGTGTCCCGTTTTCGTATCAAATCCTGTCGTCGTTCGCTGGTTAGTTCCGAGTCTGACGTGGAGGGTCTCAGTCGCGTGGCTCTTTCCTTATGCTCGTCTTCAGTCAGCACACGGTAGTGGAAACCCCTGGACTCGTAGCGCTCAAAACGCTGACATTCGGTGCACAGAGTGCGCGCCCAGTGGGGTTCTACTGCCGTCCACGGAATGACGATTAACTCGTTAAATGGCAACAATACCGAGTAAGGTGGGAAGTGCATATCGATAATAACAAACCCGGCTTCTACAAACCCAGAACAACGGTTGGCTGGAGGGAAGTAATACTGCCCGCCAATTTGTGCAACGGCTTCTCGTACGTCGCACTCACATACACGTGTCCTTTCCTCACTGTAAGGAAAATGTCGTGTTAGGATGGGAGATATGGGAGGCTGGCGCCCAATCGAAGGGTACTTGTTAGTCCACATGTCAATCAATCACAAAATATCCTGAGACGTCGTTAAGAACAGAAGCGATTCGCGCGTCCCCCAATCAATCTTTTTGACACAAGAGAGAGAAAGCAATCACAGATCAGTATGGCTACGGGTCCGATCAGTTCAACCCAACGTTGGTCCCTGGGCGCCTTGTTTCTCAGGGCCGCCTCATGGCTTGGCTGCTGATGTCGTGCATCATAAGGCAGATGGCATGCGCAGTGCAAACAGAGCTACAAATCTAAAAACTCCTGCATTCTCGAACAAACCCCGACGACACTCGTCTAATCAAATCGAAAAAGTCACGTATCTTTATACATGCATTCACCGTGGAAGGTGCGAAAATGAGACATGCAAAGGAAAAGATGGATCGCATTGCACAATACACACGCATCCACCGTTCACAAGACAAGTAGACGGGGTGCTTGCGTAGGGGGATTACCCAGGAAACTAATGGAAGAGTTCCGGAAGAAGTTCTCTCACACAGAAGCAGGATGCCAACTCATTCCTACTCAAGAGAGGGACAATCATTCAGACGCATCATCATTTAAAAAAAGAGAGAGGGAGAGAGAGAATGAAAGTCAAAATAGGAGATGAAAAGGTCCGGAAAGAGAAAAGTTCGGCGTCCCCGCCGTACGCTCACGCCAAGGATAACAATCCGCAGCAAAGGCGCATTCGCCGTTAATTCCACTATGGCCCCGGGCCAATCACTCACTCAACTCCAATCATCAAACCTCATACCCGCACCGACGATCCCGGCCGTCGCGTGCTAACTCCCACCACTGCGATCGTCACCYCGCTGTCGTAAACTCGACACGATTCGCCCGGATCCCACACTCCGTCGGTGCGATCCAGCGCGCAACCGGCCAGCCTATCGTCAGCCCGACAGGACTTTCCGACTCGCATTAATCCACTCTGCCTAGCCACTGCTTCCCGAAAGATGGCTTAGGAGTCGAGAACGTAAGAGAGCTTTGCGAACGCGCTTGCGGGTTTTATAGTTGCGACAGGGGAGATAGAAGGGGGAGAAGGCGACAAGAAAGCTGAGGTGTAAGAGGAGAAGCAGGAGGAGAAGACTTGGAGAAAAGTGCTCTACGAATGCCATGCTGATCCCTTGGAACTCAAGGTTCAACCAATCAGATATGTCGCGCGATAGGAAGGTCCTATCGATCCACGCACCTGATTGGCGAGCGGGAGTTATCGGGGGATCGACCGGGCGTCGTACGCCAGACTCAGAGGGTGAGAAGAGAAAAGGTGCGAGAGGTGGCGCAAGACGGGTCCAAGATTCAGACGATCAAGAAAGGGAAATGGGCGCGCAAACAGCAAGACGGGGGAGGGGGAGGAGAGAGAAACAATTACAGGGAGAGAGAAAGAGGAGGGAGAAGGAAAGGGAGCGCGGGAGGGAGCGATACAGGGGACAGAGGGGAGAAAGCTTCTGCATACACGGCGCCGTCAACCAAAAAAAAAAAAAGGCACCGAAACAGTTACARCTTGCTTCTATCCTAATTCAAAAATTGAAATCACCATATCCGCGCGCGAAAGAGCGACGCGAGAAAAGAAAAATCCTACGCTTATTCGTATCCGAACGAAATTCCAAAACTTTGCTCCGACGCGACCAAGAATATTCACACACTCAGAAAGGACACGTCGAAGTTCCGCTTATCCCGGAATTCCCAACCGCTGAGCCCAGTTCCCAGTGCGCTCGCTAAGGCGCACGCAAATTCCCATGTATTTTTCGACTTTGCAAAAAAAAAAACAGAACTCAGTAGTCGAAAAAGCTCTTCAAAAAGGGAAAATGCGGCACCCGAAAGCAAGAAATCAAAAACGGGGTTTTCCTGGGGTTGGTATGGTATAAGCAAAAGAAAGGGTACGAAAGGTGGCACGGGGTCGTGAAGTGGTTCGTCACATATGTGACGCGCAGGGGGTTCCAAAATTATGCGATCTCCTGATTGCATGTCATGGCGAAAAAGAAGAGGGGAGAACAGAGTGATGCATGAGGAACCAAACGTATCAACAGAGCAAAAAGAAGTACAAGGAACCATAACTGGGCCGTGGATGAGATGGCGACAACATCCGTGGCAAGATCCCTGTAGCCCTGTCATATGCAACCCTCTGCCTCGTGGAGATCGTCCAGGTGACGCCATCATGGTCCACCTGATCTCCGTGTGCTCTGCACCCTTGCTCGTTGCCGTCTGTCGAATCAGCGCGTAGGTTGACGTCATCGTTGATGGCGTGATCTTCGTGAAGCCTACCGATTCGTGCCGATGAAGGGAGGAGAGAAAAAAAAGGGGGG